GCAAGCATAAAATGACATTTTTAATTCTGTGGGTTTAAGACTGTAACGTGGCACAAGTTTGTTTGAACAAGAATTTTTCAGTCTTTTCCAGCAATTCTAAAATCTTGTATATCTTTCTTGCTGCATGCATTATGACCGTTTTAAATTGAGCTAGTGAACAAACGCATCAGGAGCCTTGTTCACAGAATATTGATTTAACAACATTCTGAGAACTGCATTCAACTCAAAATTTACGAACTAAAATTCTAGCGAAACTCTGTGATTGAACTTTGAACATGGGCCCTATACAGAAAAAGGACTTTGAACCCGATGATTGTGAATGAGTATGGATATATTTGCATAGTAATAGATCGCCCTCTAAGCGCTCAAACAAATGGAAATGTAATGTATTATTTAACTCTCCTTCCCACGCGGAATGCTAATATTAAGTTAGCCATAACAACATTAAGGAAGCGACTTGGTTACATTTATAGAGACTTTATTTGCTAAGCAGCATTGATTCTACGATGATAGTATTCAGTGTGGACACAGTAAAATCACTGGCAGGTGTCTTAACTGGTATCAAGTTGACTTGGAGCTTTAGTCAGCTGTTGAGTTCGTAACTCTTTTAGCTTAGCTACAATAGCTTACAATGTCAATTGTGCAACCTGATTAAGCATTTTTCCCTCGGGGGGAGGAGGTGACCCATATAAGGCTTTCTTTTACCCTGTTTGTTTTTGCTTTTTTCTCTTTAATTATAATACATTTTTTTAACAGATATTTCTTTTGGCACAATTCCAAACAAGAGAGGGTGAAATGAAAGGCAAATAGCGGTGATAAACAGTATCAACTTATGCATTTTTATACTAACGCAACGTTTCGTGTGCTACAATCCTGGAAAAAATACACTCGGTACTGTACAGTGGCGGATCCAGGGGAGGGGCCCGGGCCCCTTATTGTTAGACCAAACTGAGGCCCGAAGGGCCGAAAACAATTTTTTGGAGACCGGCCCCATCCCTATCTCAGGGTCTGGATGACTGGGCCTCTCCCTTATCTGTAGATAGAAAATTTAGACCCCTTCTCGCCCCCAAATCGCGGGGATGAGAAAATGGCGCGTATTGGCTTTCGCGCGGCTTATATATCCTTGATTTCGGGGGTGGGGGAGGGTGGGGTTTGCTGTTCTATTTTATTCTGTCCAGATTGTAGTCAACATTCGCCGTTACAAATAGACGAATTTCGATATATATTAAACCCCAAAATTGGCGCCGAGGCTTGAGGTGAGTAATACATTTCCTCTGTTTTATTCCACCAAGCCTCGGAGCAAAGTATGGTTAATATATCGAAGTTNAGAAAATGGCGCGTTTTGGCTTTCGCGCGGCTTATATATCCTTGATTTCGGGGGTGGGGGAGGGTGGGGTTTGCTGTTCTATTTTATTCTGTCCAGATTGTAGTCAACATTCGCCGTTACAAATAGACGAATTTCGATATATATTAAACCCCAAAATTGGCGCCGAGGCTTGAGGTGAGTAATACATTTCCTCTGTTTTATTCCACCAAGCCTCGGAGCAAAGTATGGTTAATATATCGAAGTTGGCCTATGGTGTATAAAAAAACGACCTTTATGTTCTCGTGATAAAAATGATACCGAGATCAAGAAAAACAATATTAACATCGAATCTATTACCCTGTTCACAGAGACTCTAGTTTCTCCTTACATATTGTCGAGCCAAAACAGTGGGGCCGTTTATTGACCGCTAACGCAAGGGGCCAAGGATGGATACATGAAAAAATGGTATCTTTTATTTTTCTCGCGGTCGCAAAATTCGTTGAAAAAAAACTAAAAGAAAAGAAAAAACGAATAGGAGAGGCTATAATTCCATAAAGAGCGATAGCTAATTAATAAAGCAACATCTTTTCTCCGCTGACGTTGACTCTAAAAGTTGCCTCCCGTTCTTTTGACAAAACAAAATGACAAAAAACTTGTAACGACTGGTCTTAAAATGGTTATGTATGCTGACCGAGCATACGAAACGTCAAGTTTGTTTGTACAGAAAGATGCAGAAATCGATATTTTTTATCACCGCAGTTTGTTTTAAA